GCAGTCAGTCATTAAAGGGTTCATTTTGGTTTACAGGAGACAAATTCTGTCATTTCCCAGCTTACAGGAGCTCCATGTTACCAACGCAACTATCTTTCACCATTTCCTGGAGATTTCGAGAGTACAGCACTAAAAATACACATCTCGTTGCATATAGCAGAAAGCACGCAAGTTATCAGCAACCAAGGAAGGTAAAATCTTGTCAGGCATTAAGATAGGGAAATGGGTAGAAAAGCAGAAGGGATGGAAGCATCTTCAAAAGTGTCAGGTCCACAAGCCTCAGAAAACCTTCCAAGTGCATATTCAAAGGTGCCAAGCCAATCTAAGTATAAAATCAAGCACCTGCAGAACAGACAGGCACAGCTGATCCACCCACATTTGCCACATGCCAGTTGCTTTCTTAGGGGAACATTTAGAATATACAGATTGTAATTCAGAAACGTGTTAGCCTGACTTCAAACTGGCTTGAATTAAACTTGCCTTAGGGCACACTACGTTCCAAGAAAACAAAATCAGGCTTGCTCGCTAGGCAGATTATTCCAAGTCCTCACAAGTCTTGGGGGGAAAAAAATTGGAGGGGGAATTACAAGGCTCAGTTTCCCTTGCCACCCACTCATGCTCGCCTAGAAACAATTTCAGCATTCGAGCTATTTCTGAAGGTGGTTATAGTATGCTTCATGTGAAATGTAGAACTGTCATTGTTTTGGGGCACCAAATAATTCCAGTTGCCCCCTCTAGGCGCATTTTTTACCCCAAAAATGTCAAAAATATATTCAATCTTGCTAATTCTGATTATGCACCTGCAGCCCGTGAAACTCACAGATTGTAAACAAGGCAGAATTTATCCCTCTTCAGTAGCCACATCCAAATCCAAGACTTTCCAGGCAGCTCTCTTGCTGAGAAACAAATATCAATCCAAAACCTGGAAGCCCGCCATTCAGTTCCAGGAACTATACAGTGAATTCCCCACCTCCCTCTACCTGGTGTCTAACCAGAGGCTGATGTCAATTTTGTCTGAACAGATGTTATGTCTAACCCTAACTATGTTCCCTCTGAGGACCTAAAGCCTTCACACTATATACTCAATCTAATTAATACAAGATAGTTTCAACACTTTGGAGGCTTTTAAACAAACATACCTTCACATACTCCCGTTGCAACATGAATTTAATAATATCTGTTATTGATTCTTTGATGTCTGCAGGAATAGTCTGGAAGAGAAGATACATCAGTTTTACTTATGAATTACACATAGCTCCTGGAAGTCCTCCTACCATAGAAGAGCTCAGCACACCTACAGATCTCAAAGCATGCTAAAGAAAATAGATGCATCTAAATAAAAGTATTGTGCACACAAGATGACTGAGGCCTGGGGAGCTTAAGTGATGTGCCCAAGGTCCCTGTAAGTCAGCGGCAGGCTGGAAGCAAACCCCAGATTCTTTACCACCTCACCAATCCACTGGACTTGCGATGCATAAAATGACAATTATGCAGGCAATGGACAGTTATTTGAAGTAAATGATACAACTCAGTGATTAGGGCACAGAAAGGAGAACCAGGAAGTCTATTGGGTTTTCTTCTCAATTGTGTGATTGGATAAGCCTGAGCAAATCTTGGGCTCCCTAATTCCTTTTCCCCATGTGCACAAAGGAGGTAACGTTTTCTTAGATGAGAAACACCATGTAACCACTGAATATTATGAAAGTCTTGCTGAATAGCAGCATTTTAAAAATCTTTCACCCTTTTCCGTAGTTTTCTGAAGAGGGGTCGGAGGTAAGATTCTGTCTGCTTTTGAGTGGCACTGCTCAGTTTCCCCTGCACACCACGTTTGACATAATCCTCCCTGGCATTCAGCTCCTTGGCCCAAACTCCGAGAAGAAACTGCAAAGGGAAGAAATAAATTGATGATACACTGCCACCTCGTGGCTAGGCTCACAAAGTGCATGCATAACAGTAAAAAGCAAGGAAAATGTCTGGACAAAAAAAAAACACTCAAAAAGGTGGTTTTCAGGTGGGAATTGAATTAAAACATGGCATAGAAGGATCATAAAGTTGTGCCAGGCATAGGGGATGGCACAGAAGAAAGTACCATGAAGCAGAAGGAGGCAACTTGGAAAATGCTGAGATGGACATCACTGCTGAAACTAACAGGCAAGCCAAGACAAAGAAACAAAAGCAGAGACATTGGTGGGAGACACAGGAAAAGTTTCAGCATTATTTCAGCTAACTGCCACACAACACTCCTTTCAGATCAGAGCCCAAAAAACATTCTCGCACTACACATGAGTTTCCAAGTCTCTCTCTAGACTTGTGCTGCAGTGCACTTACACACGATCCAAGGTAAATGGGTACCTGGACATTTAAGATGAGGAACAAAAGGTGGCCAAACACAAATACTAATCACATCACACTAGGTGCCACTAGCCACAGAGCTGACAGGCCTGACGAACCTTCCAGGTTCAGACACAGCATGACAGACTGATTTGTACAGAGCCGTCACAGCTTGTGTAAACTCTCTTAATCCAGCCTAACTTAAGTGTCACAGGAAAAGATTTACCAAAAATGTGTTAAATAAGCCTGAAAAATCAGAACCAGTTTTCAAAAATGTTATGCATCTACCATTTCCTCACTCTTTCCTGGCTAAATAAGGTCTTGATGTCTTTAAAAAAAAAAAAAAAAATCTATCCCTACACATCCCAAGGCAGAACAGCCACAACCAGAACCTCTTGTTTTTAATTATTATTATTATATTCAAACAAATCATGCTCCTTGCTACTGCTGAAACAGAATCAACCCACCAAATTAAATCTCTTTACCTTTAAGAATTTGGTTATGATGTCCATGTCTTTATGGTCATCCCCTTTTCCTAAGGACTCTCCCAAAGCCTGAAAGAGAAAAGCTGTCAGTACGTTTCCCTTCCACATCTTCCAGTTACTTGTTTCTGCCAAAAAACAGCCAATAACACTGCGCAGGTTTCTGATATTCATGAATCTACTGCCTGTGGGCAATAAAGAACCAGCTGCAGATTTCTTAAATCTGACCTATCTGGGATTTCTAACATAAAAGCATTCTCACCTACTAAATAACAGGCATGACAGGCAAAGATGCTGAGCCCACAACTCCTGGACATTGATGGTTATGATTTGCACTCAGTATTTTAAAACCTCTAACAATCAGCTCAGAGTGACTTTATTAATGTTATGCCATGCTTTATGCTATTTAAATTCTCTGTTCAGAGTTTCACATTTCTGTTTACTTGGACGGGGAACCTTTCTATAGTCAGCTCCAAGATCACCCTCTAAGGGCGCGTCCACACATGCAGGCATATGCGCTTGCAGCAGCTCAAACAGAAGTGGCACAAATTTGAGCCAGGGATTTTTGCCTCAGCGCACATGCCTGGACTTTGGTGTAGGGA